TGAAAAGAAAAAAAAAACAGTTGAAGCGTCTTAGTATCATTAAAGTGACATTTATTTACGCAATGTGGGTGACAACAACATAGGAAAGCAAGTAAGAATCATCATCAGTTAAATCTACAGTACAAAGGCACAGATCACACTCATTTAATCATGATGTCTTTGATATTTTACCTTAGACACACACTTCCCACACTGGAAATCCTGATGCCTAGGGGTTCTGGGGTAGCAGTGATTATACAGATGAATTGCAGCAAGGGTATAAAGTGTTTTTAAAAGAAACCCCCAAATCACCAGCTGTGTGTTTTAATGTCTCTACTTACAACTCTGAACCCTGTGACCGCACACAGGGGAGAGTGAGGAAGGGCGGTCAGACTGCTCTGATTGGCCTGTCTTCCAGTCACAGGAAGCTCCACCCCACACCGGAGGATGAACACTGATTGGAGGAGAGCTGTCCCGCTCACTGCCAGCACTGTACACCTACAATCACTCAGGAGGCCACAGGGGAGGTAGGGAGGCTATATCACCCAGAGAGACCGAACCAAATAATCCCACCCTACCATCAATGGTAGGCCAACAGTGGATTTCCAGTCACAGCCATCTAGAGACATGACCCAGGCTTGAACGCACAATTATAGAGCTCAGAACAATCAGCACGGCTTCTGTCCCTGGTGGTCCTTCCCATCCTCACCTGCCTTCGCTACAGCCCTGTTCCTGGCTAGCCCCCTCACTGCTCCTTGTACTCTGCCTCAGGCCGCCAGCCCCTCTGCCTGCACCGTGTCTTGCCCGACCCCTGGGACTCTACACTGGATCCGGTCTTCAGTGGGAGCACTGTGGGGCCCGTTCCCCGGCACAGCGCCCTGACGGCGGAGGAGACCGACTTGAGAGAGCAGACCGCCCAGATGATGCACGCCCTGTCCTGTCTGGCTCCAGGTGCAGACAGACCAGATTCTCCCTGATCCAGTCCTGACGTTGTGTTGGGTTTGGCAACCTGTAAAGAAGTAACAGAAAGCCTCCTCGACTCACAAAGCCTTGCGAGAATTTATCCATACACACCCTGGGGACCTCCCAGCTATGTGTGGGGTCTGGCACAAGAGGCTGCAAAGAGTTTTCACAAGGGTGTCGCCTCTAAGAAGTATGAAATGCCAAAACGAGCCGAGAGCCGACGTTAACTTGTGTCCTGTGACCTGTGACCTGTGCTCTTGCTCCATCTCAACAGGTTTGACAGATCTGATCAGCACAGCGCTGTGATTCCCACAGGCGTGAGGGCAGCGGTTTGTTCGCCAGGTGTGTATGGGGTTAGGCCACGCAGCTCCATGCTGAGGCTTCAATTGGAATAAACTGGACCAGAGAACGGGGGCTCCACCTGTACAGTCACCAGGAAAATAGGAACTGCCGATACGGACCAGATGGGGCCCTACGGTCTCTCTTCGGTGTGAGTAATCAAGTGCCTCTTGAGGTCGCTGGTCTGAATGAAACTCTTCTTGCAGATGGTGCAGCAGTAGGGCCTCTTTCCCGTGTGCGTGCTCTGGTGCCTCTTCAGGTTGACTAGTTTGCTGAAGCTCTTCCCGCACTGGCCGCAGCAGTGCGGCCGCTCGCCCGTGTGAATCTGGTGGTGCGCTTTGAGGTTGCACGACTGCCGGAAGCTCTTCCCGCACTGCGAGCAGGTGTAGGGTCTCTCCCCGGTGTGGATGAGCTGGTGCGTCTTGAGGTGGCCCAGCTGGTTGAAGGTCTTCCCGCACTCGGAGCAGCAGTACGGCCTCTCTCCGGTGTGGATGCGCTGGTGGATCTTCAGGTCGCCCGCCAGGCTGAAGCTCTTCCCGCACTGGGCGCAGCGGTAGGGCCTCTCTCCCGTGTGGATGCGCTCGTGGGATTTGAGATGCCCCGAGTAGCTGAAGCTCTTCCCGCACAAGGTGCAGCAGTACGGTTTCTCTCCTGTGTGGGTCCGCTGGTGCATTTTGAGAGACCAGGCGGTGCTTAAAACTATGCTGCAGTGGGCACAGCGATACCCCCCAGTGTTTGCACTGGACGCTGCGGAGCTCTCAATGGCCAGCGTTGGGGCAATAGAGCAGGACGGCCCAGTCAGCTCCTGTCCGTGCTGTACCGATCGGCTCTCATCCACGCCTCTCTCCGGGGGCGTTTCCCCCAGCTCCTGGCAGGAGATCTCCCTTTCCCGCTGCTCCGCAGGCTGTCCACCGTGTTCCCAGTCCCCCGGGAATCGGACCAGCCGCTCGACCCCTTCGCTACGCCGCTCCTCTTTAACGGGGGCCGGATCCGAGCTGTGAGATTCCAGGTGCGCCCTGCCAGGTCGTTCGTAGGGTCCCAGCGGTTTGCCATCCGGGCCCTCCACTTGGGCGCGGATGGGCTCCAGCTCGATGTGTTGCTCTGCGGCCTGATGGGGCTGGAGCTCGGCACCCTGCTCTGTAATCCTCAGGACAGTCACGTCTCTGTCGCTCTGTGTTTCCATGATGACGGGCTCCAGTTGGCCAGCTGTCCACGTACCGCAATCGCGTCCGACACTGCTGAGCTTCTCCGCGTGGAGCTTGGATCCCAGCAGGCTACACTGCAGCGTGACGCAGTCGGGCCAGGAAGCCATCACCTGCACAGAGTCGCGTCCCCTAGGCCCGTCTACGCTTAGCCTACATCTTGGCCACCTGGCAAGCTCTTTCTCGCCCCCTGCGGGTGCGGGCTCTGTCTCTTGCCTCATGCCAGAGCCCCACCTCTCCCTGGGGCACTGCTGCTCAGCAGGGCTCTGTTCTCCAGAGTACGGGAGCACGCTGACCTCTGAACCTGCTACAGACCAGAGAACAAGGTGTAAGAATGACTCCCATAATGAAATGCTAAAGCTACTTAATTTCGGAACTGATTTATTTGTTCCTGTCTGATATACGAGAGTGGATGTGTCCGTTCTTGTATGATTGGTGTGAGTGGTTCTATCTGTACCTGTCTGATCTGTGTGTCTGTACCTGTCTGATCTGTGTGAGTGTGTCTGTCTGTTCCTGTCTGATCTAAGTGTGTCTGTCCATTCCTGTCTAATCTTTGTGTGTGTTTGTCTGTACTTGTTTGATCCGTGTGAGTGTGTCTATCTCTTCCTGTCTGATAGGTGTGAGTTGGTCTGAAAACCATTCATGTGTAATCTGTGAATGGATATTGAGGATCTGTGTGCCTGTCTATCTTGGTTGTCTGCTTGTGCGATCTATGTGCGAGACCAGACTTTTCGACTGACTAAAGAGAGGTGATCTGTGCTGGGTGTGTCTCAGAAGTGTATACTCTGCTGTGTATAGCACAACAAAAATTCTTCAGTTCCTTTGTACACCATATAGCACAGATAGCAATGAAACGGTGTAACCGACAAACACATGCAATAGCTATGTGACAGATTATACCGTTTAATTAATGAAATTACGTTTACTTCCACCACACTCCTGTCATGCAGTTGATTAAACATGACACTCACGCTGTACACCCGCAGAGATTAACTGGGCCGTATCTTTTCCAGACCATATCTGTATGGTGATGTTCTTACATGATTTGCCGCTGAGTGGAAGAGCAAGATGTGTTTCTCCACCTCAACATAAATTTTACGTCGTTCAACCTTGATGTGATTCTTGAACTAAACAAGATGCAGTTTGACACCTCACTGAGTACCTGGTCCATGATCTTGTCACGTGTCTTTAATGACAAAGATGGCTCAGGGAATCTAGTGACATTTGGGCTAATCAGCACCCTTAAAAACATCCTGTCTTTCATGGTGGTAGCAGGCTGTTGGGACACAATAGTGGGATGATGATGATAATGAACACCTTTAATGGCACTATAAATCTAATGTATTTTTACTCTCCACTTAATGTAAAAATAGACTTGAAACGTAAAACAAAAATGAACAGAAAGCGGGGCCACACTTTCTTCCAAAAAAACCCACCAAACCGAATAAAATAACGAACACGCAAATCGAGAGTGCAAGGAGAATTTCTGCCAAGGACAGCGGAGTACATTCTGGGGCACCCTACTCAATGAGAGTCTGTTTCCCTGGATGTAAACACGTTGTCATATTCAGCGGTTCGTGCTTGACACACCTGTGGCTAATTCTCCCTTCAGACAGCCGCTGCCCGAGTCCTCTCCAGGCCTCTCCTGTTTGACAAGAAGCGATTCCTCCATGTCTTCGTACTATAAAAGACAAGAGGAGATTTCTGAGCAACACTACACTACATGGTTCTAGATATGCACTGCAGTTACCACTGGTAGTCCACACCTGAACAGGAGTAGAGGTGAGCTATCGGAATATAGTGCTGTGCAGAGCACTGTTTCTTACAGTGCTGCCTACAGCAGTGGTTCCCAACCCTGGTACAATGTCTCTACGGGTATTGACTTCAACAACATGGCTAAGCAGCTTGTTTCACACTCCCACCACCCTTTGTGTAAAGACATGCCTCTTATCCTAACTGGACAATGTCATCCTGCTATGTCTTGAAAGAAGCCAGAATATTGGCTTCAACAACACGGGTAAGCAGCTTGTTCCACACTCTAACCACCCTTTGTGTATCACCATGCCTCCTGTTCCTCGGTTTATTAGTTTAGGAAGTGTTTAAGAACTCAACCAGTGTCATTTTAAACCTTGGCAGAAAACATTATACAGCTGAAGACCCAGATCAAATTCATACTACTGACCTCCTCTTTAATCACAACAGATTCCAGGTCAGTGTCCTCCTCTGTGAGGTGGACAGGATACCGATCATCAGTTCCCACTGGTATGCCCTTAGACATCAGCTCTCCGAATGTCCACAGACCCCGTTCCTTGTCAAAGAGGCTCTCTGTGACTCCAGGAGCTCTGTCCTCCTCAGCTCCTGCGAGAGAGAAATTGCAGACAGTTCTGAGCACAGCTGCAGAGGAGTAATGCCAGTACTGGAACCAGGCCTGACACAGTGAGCGGGTCAGAGAAGTGACATCACGATCTGGACTCCTGGACAGTGGAGACCTTTGTTGGTCTTTTGATGGTGACCGCTGTCTAGGGAGTGGTGCTGTGTCTGACTCCACTCTGTGGGACACTGCGATCCAGTCCCAGCAGGGACAGAGCAGAGCTGCACGTGTTACGCCATAATGTGTTTTACTGATACAGTGCCACTCACACTGTGGGCATGTCTGACACAGTGCCACTCCCACCCTGGGTCTGATAGAGTGTCACTCCAACTACTCACACTGTGAGCATGTCTGACACAATCGCACTCCCATTGCAGGCATGTCCGATAATAGTGTCACCCCCAGTGTGGGCGTGTCTGATA